GCAGCTGGTTCATGCACACTGGGGAAGCCCTGTAGATCTTTCCTAAATGCTCAAGCCTTCCTTCCCAGCCCCCCAACTTCAAGGAAGGATGCTATCACTGTGAAACTGTCACGGTGAAGCCCGCTGCCTTGCCTCGCTTTGGCTTTGCTTCTTGCTGAAGGCAAGGACTGGGGTGAGCAAGGAAACCAGAGGCCATACACCCCTGTCTTGGCTCCTCCCTCTTTAGCTGCTGTTTGAAGCCTTAATATGAAAAAGGTCTAATGGATCATTTTGACAGTGACAGAGTGAACTCCACTGAAGGACATCAGAAGCCACTAGGAAGAAATGACAACTTCTACAGGAGGTCAGCCGCACCCTGACTCCAGGCTACCATTTCCTCAACCTTCCTCGAGGCTGACTTACGCTCAGTATCCCACACACCTGAGAAGGTCCCTCTATTTAACACCCCTGCTGACTGTGTTCAGTCACTGTCCCTGATAGTTTTCAACTTGACACAAGTTAGAGTCATCTGAGAGGCAGGGACCTCCGTTGAGAAGATGCCGTCCTGTGATTGGGCCATAGGCAAGCCTGTGAGGCATTTTCTTGATTAATGGTTGCTGGGGGAGGGCCAAGTCCATTGTGGGGGATGACACCCATGGGGTGGTGGTCCTGGGAGCTTTGAGAAAGCAGACTGAGCAAACCATGAAGAGCAAGCCAGCAAGCAACATTCCTTCGTGGCCTCTGTGTCAGCTGCTGCCTCCAGGTTCCTGCCCTGTGTGAGTTCATGACTTCCTTTGCTGATGGTCTGTGATACGGAAGTGTAAACAAATAAGCCCTTTCCTCCCATGATGCTCTTGGTCATGGTGTTTCCTTACAGCAACGTTAACCCTACCTAAAACAGTTACCAACCTCCCGAAAGATTCAAGGCCAATCCAAGAGACAGGTGGGCAGGTCCTGGCTCCCACCTGGTCCAGGATCCTCAGGCCACCTGGCAGGGACAGATAGTTTCTTCTGTTTTTGTTTCGATTCTAAGGCACTCACATGGGCTGCATGCACTGGTGCAAGTCAGGCCACTAGGAGGCCCCAGGCTGCTATGGCCGGTGAAAAGTAGGCCAGCCCTTACCTTAACCAAAGGATGCCTAGGCCTGAGCTCTGGTGCAGGCAAAACAAAGAGAAATGAGAGCAGAAAAGAGAAATAATGGCCACCCATGAAGCCAGTTGTCATGGAGACATCGGACATGAATGCAAATCGTTTCCTACCCCATGAGGGTCAATTCTATGGGTGAGTCTGCTGGGGCACGATGTCTTATCCTGGATGTCTCAGAGGGGGTTCTGGGTGAGGTTAAATTTGATGACTGTCCACCTCTATGCTGCTGGGCTTCATCTGACCCATCAAGTGACTTCATGGAACAGAGAACTGGGGACAGAAGGATTTTGTTCTCACTGCCTGCTTAAGCCAGGCTTTGGTCTGCCCTTGAACTTGGGATGCATGCCAGCTAGCAGCTCTCCGGGCGTTCAAGCTTCAGATTTAGACTAGAAACAGACACCAGCACTGGCCCTCCTGGGTCTCCAGACCTCTACCAATCGCTTGAGCCAATACCTGTTGTAGGAAGCAACGGTTCTGAGCTTAGATGAGAGTTGAACTCGAACATTTTTCTTTACTACGGTAACAAAGTCACATGTCCTTCAGATCTTTCCCTGTGCTGACGACAGGCTGCATGAGTCAGTCTCCGTCTCTGCCACCCCCCTCAAAGCTAGTCAGAAATTGTAACCACAAGGCCCCAAGAGCTTCAAGGGGAAAATCTCAAATGTTCAGTAAATGACAGGCATGTTTAACTTAAAATATTTCCAATTAATGATAGGCTCATCAGGCACATCATATGTTGAGGTATACGTATGCACACATATATCTCAACTATAGACTATATAGGTATAGCATATATAGTATACAGAATCTTCTGCCGACCCTATTTCTCTGTAGAGCTCTGCTCCCTTACCATGGTCCAAATGGCCCTCATGCTTTGTGAAGATCATGTCACTGCCTCCTGACTGACCTCCGACCGTGTGACCCTGCTTGACAGCCTTCACTATCCATTCAAGAGCCTGCATAGTCCTGGTAAACCATTATTAGTCAGACACATCCCTCCTCTGCCCAACTTCCCAAGAGGCTGCTCCCGATAGACACAGCAGCCTGAAGTCACCTGTGTGACTCCCGGGGCTGCCTCTTGAGCCTGTCTGAACCACTTGAGTCTGTCTCTTGAACCACTGCCGTGCCCGCCATTCCAGCCCTCCTGGCCTCCTAAGCAAGATCTTGGAATGAGGCCACGGCTGGCTGGAAGGTTTGTCACTCAGATCACCAGCTCACAAAGTGACCCTTTAAGCCCAGCTCCTGTGCCCCCACATTTTATCCCTGTCCCCCACTGACTTATCTCCTTGGCAGTAGGTATTACTCAACTCTCCACGTTCATATTTATTCCTCTGCCTCTAGTCTCACTCTCTGAAATGCCGGCCCTTCCCATTGAGGGATTTGAGTAATTTTGCTCACTCCCATACCTCGTACCCCCAGTGCCTGAAACAGTTCTCAATACCACAGAACTTGTTGGCAAAGGACAGACCATAGCTCCAAAGGGAACAGGGGAGGGGGACATTGTTCCCCTTAGGGTAACAGTTGCTGCCTCAGTGATTGTCTGTTCAGAGGTCTGGTGTGTCTCCTGAGAGGAAAGCCGCACAATGCAAAATAAGATTAGATGTGATTGTTATTCTGACTACAGAGCCAGCCAGGCCTTGGAAAGGCCCGTGTGCCTGGTGCCCAACACTCACAGGAGCGGACACACAGAGCCACCCGCCCCAGGATGCAGGTTAGCTGCACTGGGGACAAACACCTGGTCTTGAAGGAACCCATTCCAGGAGACTACACCAGCTGACGGCAGGGTTTGGGGGACGAGAAAGCTATCTGCCGTATGGGGAGTTAGTTGTCCATGCCAGACTGCACGATTGCACACAGTGGTCCTAACAGCAGGCCGCCCATCAGTTCAAATAGTGTTGGCTCATTTGACAACAAACACCAGCTGATTTTTCTGGTCTTAACTGCAAATCAGCAAATCGGGTGACTAGCTGTAACCACCCAGTAGTGTCAGCCCCCACCTTAAAGCCCTGCGTGCCGTCACCTTCATACTTGTCACCGGTAATTCTCAAGGTGTCAGGCTCTGTCTAGGGGCTCTGAATTGCACCAGGGGAGTGGGCAGAGGCTGTCAGACAGTCTGGGCGGATTGGAACCATCGAGGTGATGTGGGGGCTGGACCGTCTGTAGGTGGAAGGTGACTACTTTTCCTTTATCTCATGACAGTTACTGGAGTAGCTAGCTTTCTGGACCTCCTCCACCCTCTGGGCTAGGGAGTCACGGCTTCTGGGGCTCTCTCGGTGGTAATAGCTGAGGGAGAGTGAGGGCGAGTGTGTCTGCCTTTGGAAGCCCTTGACTTCATTCCTGGTCTGGACTCCAGTGGCTGTCCACCAGGTAGAAACCAGAAGATGCTAAGTAAGGGAAAGAAGAGGTCGTTGATCTGGCTGGTTGATTTGACTGGCTCCTCTTAGGCCCACAGGACGGGGAGCCCCAGGCATTCTCAGCAAGCACAACCCAGACACCAGCAGATGGACGGTGGGGCTGGAAATTCACTTAAGACAAACAATAAGGGCCTTCTCCAGCGGTTTGTCAGCGGCTTCCAAGAGCAACAAACTCCTCCAGCTGTTCCCACAGGGAAAGCCCCTGAGAATTGTATCCAGAGGGGAAGGAGATCTGAAATCCCCCCTTCCCCGGGCTTACCATGGGCCCTCAACCCCTATGGAAAATAGCAAAACTCTGTGTGTGTGTGTGTGTGTGTGTGTGTGTGTGTGTGTGTGTGTGGTGGGTGGGTGGGTAAGGGAAGTGCTGCACCCAACAGATAGTGGACTGGGCAATCTTCCCTCAGCTTAAAGAGCAGAAATTAGGCTCCCGCTTCAGCTCCAGGTGCCAGGGAAGCAGCCTTCCCTGCCCTTCCAGGAATGCACAGCCAACAGGGGGAAGGAACTTTCTCCACTTCCGATTCAAATTAAGTGAGGGTGGCCTTTGCTGCAGGGCAGGGAGGCTGGTTTCCCAGCACTGTGGGTAGCAGTCACAGCTCTCAGCCCAAGGACTGTTGGTGAATGAGTGGCCGAGTATGTGGGGTGATCTCTGATCAAGCTAAAGGGCACAGTGGACACGGACGAGGACACTTAGAAACAGGCTGTCACGGAGACAGGAATCAAAGGGATGAGGGAAGGAGATGAAGGGAAGGGGGAAGGGGAGGAGCAAGAGAAGATGGGGAAGGGGAGGGGAGGGGCGGAGAGCAAAGGTGAGAGGAGAGGAGACAGAGTGGGGCGAACAGGAACAGAAGGTGGAAGAGGACTGGAGCAGGGAGATGAGGGAGTGGGAAAGGAAGTGACAGGAATGAGTGAAGAGAGAAGAGGAGGAAAGGGGAGGGCTAGAGATGAAAGAGAAGGAGGGAAGAGAGGTGGGGGAGTGAGAAGAGACGGGTGAGTAAGGAGGAGGGGAAGCTAGGTGAGGCAGAGATGAGGAGGAGGGAAGGGGCGAGGGGGAAGGAAAGAGGGGAGGTAGGGTTGGGAAAGAAAGAAAAGAGTGAGAAAAGGATAGAGGAAGGTGGGCAGAGGGAACAGAAGAAGGTGGGAGGGAAAAAGAGGAGGGGGGAACAGGAATAATGGGGGGAAGGCTGGGAGGGAGGAGGCAGGAAAGAGAGGGGGAGGAGGAGAAAGGGAGTAGGAGAAGCGAAAGGAGACTAGGGGTGGGAGAGAGGCAGGAGGGAGGAGCCCTGGTGAGAAAGGAGGAGGATGGAGAAGGGGAGGGGTTGAAGAAGGGAAGGGAAGGGAGGAGAGGGAATGGAAGGGCGGGGCGGGCCAGCGCCGTGGGAGGAGGGGCGTGCGGAGGCCGCGAGCCGCCGGCTCTGGTTGGCTGGCCGCCCCCGTCCCTCCCCCGCCCCTCCCCCCGCCCCCGCCCTCCCGGCGCGGTGGCCGCGGAGAGAAAGTAAGGTGAAAAAGTCCAAGTGCTGCTGCGGGCGCGATGGGGGCCGGCTCCTCAAGCTACCGGCCCAAGGCCATCTACCTGGACATCGATGGACGCATCCAGAAGGTACCCCGCCCCTCCTCTGCGGCCTCTGTGAGCCCCAGTAAGCGCAGGTGTCCCCACTGCAGGCGCCGAGCCCACGGACGGAGCTGATCCTGGCGGCCCGCCGTGCGGGCAGAGCCCCGGGAGGCGCGGCAGCCGGGGGTGCCGACCCGCGGAGCAGTTCCCAGGTGGACGGCGACAGTCGTGGGAGGGGGGCAGAACCTGCCGCTGCGTCCTGTGACCTCGTGGGGACTGAGGGACCCGCTTTCGGCTCTGCTGTACACTGCCTTTCCAACCAACTTGAGCCACGTAGGAGAGGGGTTCGCCACGGACCCCTTTTGTTCGCGGTCCCTCCCCTTCTAAAGACCCTTCTCTAGACACTTAGTGTCCTTGACTTCGTTGATATTGACAAAGGGACAATGGGTAAGCTGGCGGGGGTGGGAGTGGGGGAGGGTCTCATTAGCTCCCTCTAAAGTGAGTGTTTATGGAAAAGCCCATTGTGGAGAAATTGTTCCCGGACCTCCGCTGGACATCTCAGAGAAGCCGGGCAGCTTGCTGTAAACCCAGCAAAGGAAGCCAAGGAGGGGTACCTGATGGGCATGGGCCTCCGTTCTCAGGTGTGTCCTCTTGTCTGGTTGGCTTCATCAGTAACAGAAACCCACCCTCCACTCTCAGACTGATCCTGGAAAAATGGGAAGTACCGTCCCTCCTCAGGCTTGGTGACTTGGGAGGGGCTGGGAAGTACCTTCCAGCGACAGTGGTCAGCCTCTTACTTGAGCATCGTGGGCAGGTGCAGGTTGAGATGCAGGACCAGATCCCAGCTCCCGACTCCTGGAGCACAGCTACTGAGATGTAACAGCCTCCTCTTCCTCCCAGAGGAAGGAAGGACTTCACTGCGTGTCTTCCTGCCTCAGCCCGTTTGAGCACACAAACACGTGCACGTATGCATGTGAAGGCATCAACACACACGCCAGATGTGTGCATGCATGTGTATACAATGTGTATACAAAGCACATATCTGTACCCATGCATTTTCCCCTAGCCCACCAAATGAGAATTTATTAAAGATCTGCTTTTGTTTTGTTTTTTTTAAATTTTGGTGCAAGGGATGAAACCGTGGGCTTCATGCATGCAAGGCAGACACTGTTATTATGCTACATTTCTGGCCGTCTTTTATCCCTTTAAAGAGGGAAGATGAGGTGTCACCTGGCCAAAAGTGGCAGGTCCTTCCTAAAATCTCCCCAGAGGTCCTCAAATAGCTGCTTGGCAACCAGTGGAAAGTAGAAGAAAGGTTTAGGAGGAGCCGAGTAAGTTTTGGGTCTGGTAGGCTGGTCTGAGACTGTGGGTAAGGTGGGCTTTCCCAGTGGATATACCTGAAGTTGAGTGACCTCTAGAAAGGCCACTTACAGGCCAACCCTGGGGTGGGTCGGGGCAGGCTCCTGCACTAGGCTAGAAGGTCATGGCTTTGGGTGGAGGCGAGACTTGTTGAGTGCTGGCTCTGCCACTTTGGGCTCCTCTGGCTGGCATCCTCGTCTGTGAAGGGATCATTATATCTGCTTTATAGACCGTAATGAGAAGTAAATGAGAGGTATAAACAGTGCCTGGACCATGGCAGAACACAAGAGGCATTATTCTCGGTCTTTGTCTGCTCATAAACATTCTTGTCTTCACACCATGGAGTAGAGGCTGGTGGAGCAAGCGGGCCTCCACCCTGCCACTGTGGTCAGCCTCTCACTGATCCTGGGCACCCTGTCATCAGCACTAGGTGTTGAGGTGAACCTTTAGCCTGGTAAGAACTAGGTCTCTGGCTTTCCTGGTGTGCATGTTCACATCTCAGCCTCCGTGCCCTGCAACCCTGCACCCATCCACACTGCTGAGACCTTGTACACCAGCCCAGAGCATTTCCTCTTACTAGGCACTGGGCATATCTGAAAGTTCCCAGCATGCAATCATTTCTGGCTTTCATTTACCCACTCCATCTCTTCTTCATGGGAGGCCAAGGAATAAACCCCCAGGGAAAGGGTTGGGCCCTGGGGATGAGATAAGGCATATGTCGCTTTCTGCCAAGGCATCAGTCTTGGTGAGGGGCTTGCCCATGACTCCTGTGTTTTCTCAGCCCTTTGTCCATCTTGCTACCAACTCCTGGCCACCTCAGCTTCAGGCAGACATGGGAGGGGACCACATTGCTAACACTGACTTTTGCTGGTATTACCTGCCCAACAAAGTTCAGGGAGAAGACCTTGGGCCCTCTTGATTGTACCAGGGTGGGACTCAAAGGAACTAGTGAAGTAGTTTGGCCACTGCTCAGTGCTGCTTTTTGTGTATGGAGACAATTCTGGGTGCATACAGTACCCGGCTTTCTTTAACGGGAATGGCAGTGAGAATTTGGGGGATTCTGGCTTCTCTCTCTGGGCCATTTCATGTAGAAGATAAGAGGGCCCAGGGGGGCTTGTTCTCCCAAACTATGTAAAATCTGTAGGACCGTTGGGCTGGAGCCATTGTGTCCCCAAGGTCCTCCACTTCTCATCTCTGCTTTGGTTAGTTGCTTCAACCTGTGTCTGTTTTCTCAGCTCTTAAGTGAGGTAAGAGTGGGCTTGTTGTTGTAGGTGTAGACAGATGAGGCAGATCAGGTACCCAGTGAGCAACACAAGCCCTAAAGTTGGCTGCTGGAGGCTAGGGTCCAGCATGACTGAGACACTCAGGGTACTGTGTTGGGCTGGGGGTGGGAAGCTCACAAATGATAGGAACCCTAAGTTATTTCCAGCTGGCCGAGATGTGACAGAGGGACATGGTGGGGTCTGTGCTGTTGGTGGAGCCTCATGAACTGGCTTCCTTCCTCTGTGGTGGGAGGGAAGGTTCCCATCCTGCAGACCTAGAAGCCTTTAGAACACACTGAGTTAGAATTTTCACAGTGGCCACGGGGCAGTGTTGCCCGTCCAGCCACATCTCTACATTCCTGTCCCTTGGTTCCTCAGCTTGCCGGGATGTACAGATGGGTCCGGGAGTCCTTTAAAGAAGCAGGGAGTTGGGAGCCGGATCTGCTCTCTAGAAACTAGACCCCCTCCATCCTTGCTCTGAGGACTCTCCTGTGTCCTTTCTTAGCTTCCGCACTGGGAGGAGGTGGTCGTGCCTCCAGACCTCAGTGCTTGGTCCCTTATCTAATCTAGAGGGGAGGAAAGCTCTGAACTTACCCACTTAGGGATGTCGAGCCTAAGGCAGTTCGTATCAGAGAGCCAGAGGGCCCCTGCCTGGGTTTGCAGACCTGTAAGGAAAGCAGAGCCCTTCAGGGCCTCAGCCCAACCAGCCTTGGGTTGGTTGAAAAGCCAGTAGCTGGGCAAGGGGGGAGCCTGGGAGCCTTTGTTAGAGCCTGGCCCTGGTGTGGTAAGCGCCCCTCCTCAGCCACTCTAAGCTGCCTGTGGCTTTGTCCCGGCCCATCTCCGCAGCTGGAACCTGGGTCTTACTATGGAAACAGCCACTTGAGCTTTGCTGAGCCGTTTCTGCTCAAAATGAAAAAAGCCACTGGGCGCAGCAGCACGAGGACCCTGGTCAGTGTCCCCATCTAAATGGTTTGTCTCCGTGAATGTGGCTGCCTGGCCTTGGTCCTGCTGGAACCCAGAGTTCACGGTACCCAGTTCTGCTTGGGGCTTCTCAGCACACTCCTGGGTTCCAACCCCCTGGTCCTGTTGTGTCTCTGTGCACCTGCCAAGCTCCGATCTACTGTCTCCACACCGAAGATGTCCTCTTTGGTGCAGCTCCTTTGCACTGAGCGTCCTCAGCCTTGCATGCCCTGCATGGTTGGTCACTGGGACTGTGGCTCCATGGTCTCTCCTCCTCCGGCATCCTCTACCCTACCTGTGCCTTTTACAGCTGCCCGTGGCCCTCAAGAACTAAGCCTTCTTTCCTAGCCTGAGCCTCCACCTCTTCTGTGGTTCCACCTTCTATTGTTTAAAGAATGCACCTGCCTTGTCCTGTGATGGGTGTGGTACCACCTATAGTGTCCTGCCTTATCCTCCCGTAGAATAGTCTTGCCCTTTCACTTTGGAACAGATGGTCCTGCCCATCCAGGCACACCGCGGCTATTCTGCCACTGTATGGTCTCCTCCCACTCATATCCCCATGCTTCTTATGGCCGGGACGAACTGGCTCAGTCCTGTGGGTCCTGGCTCCACTGCCTTCTCCCTCATCAAACCAGGTTCAGCGGTTCCCCTTGGCTGCCTTCAGCAGTTCTAGAACACTCCATTTGCCATCCTCTGATATGTTTATAACTTAGACTCTTTAAACAAATATGGGCATGGTACCCTGAGTGCAGTGAGCTAGAAGAAGAGGGGTGTCCTCATCCTCCAGAGGCTCAATGTGGAAATAGGGAGGAAGGAATGGGGAGTAGGGGCCATTTGAATAGCCAGTTCTATGTCCATTCTGACCACTGGCCTGAGATGGCCCCTGGGTCTCTGCCAGGATCAGAGCTGGTTGTGAAGGTAAATAAAATCACCTCAACTTTCAGTTTCTTTTGCAATAAGCAACCACTGTTAAGGGCCTGATGGGACCCTACAGTAGGAGTATCCCAGGACGACCTTAGGAGGTCACTATGAAATCAGAGAGCAGGCCCTGGCCCCTCCTTCTGTGCCCAGCTTTGATCTGAGGTTCCTGGAAGCCAGGCATTCCCAGTGACCTTTGACCTGGAAGGGATGCTATAGGCTTAAACCCAGCTTGACGCCGTCACGAAGTGACTGCTGATGGCCTGCAGTCCTTTGGAAACACTGGTGTTGCCCAGAGGTGCAAGGAGACGGATCTGCTTGTGGTAGATATAGGGCAGTGTCCCTGGTCCTCCTCGGTGGCGTTTGATTCTGTCCTTGATGACTAGAAGATGGTGGCCTACTTTATTTTCTGTTGCTGTAATGAACACCACAACCAAAAGCAACTTGGGGAGGAAAGGATTCATGCAGTTTATACTTTAGGTCAGAGTCCATCCCTGAGGGAAGTCATGGCAGGAACCGAAGCAGAAAACCAGCCATAAGTGCAGCTTA